GATGACAATTTTTTTCAACTTCCTATATCTGCTCTTCGCGCAGTTGCGCAGCATCAGGTGCCCAACGGGCATCGGGAAAAAATAGTGGCTTTCGCATAGTGCTCACCCGAATACGTTCCAAATCCTCAGCTGTGCTACTTTCATATGAAGATGTATTAGAAGATGTGTTAACAGCCCTATTTGCAACTTGGAACGCACTCCATCTAGCACATACATATGTGGGCGAGCAAGTGAGACAAGGCATTGGATCTATGTTCACTAGGCGTGATGACTGAGGCGTAAAACTGTTCAAAAATCATAAATATTATTCAAGTAAAATGCATTTTTACCAATCCGATATAATACATTTTAAAAATTAAATAAAAATAATACATTATTTTTGCATATTGCATTAGGATTTACTTTCCATAGTTGACATTATTCGAATTATGTTAAATACACACTGTCAAGCTTTAAGGTAATGTCAATACGAGGTGTGTTCAAAAAGTATCGCGAATTTTGAATTTTCGCGGGTTACGTATAATCGAATTTCGATTTTTTGTGGCGGTACTCATGTCTGCCACTTATGCCGACAAACTCGGCCATTTTGAATGTTCACATTATTGTTGACAGCTGCTTTGCTTACACGTGTTTTGGATACCACGGTCAATAAGGAATATTACCTGCATGTTATGCGCAATTTGCGCGAAGCAATCCGCCAGAAACACCCAGATTTGCGGAAGAACAAAAATTGGCTTTTGCACCACGATAACGCCCCTGCTCACACATCATTGCTTGTACGCGACTTTTTGGTCAAAAACAACATACTTATGATTCCGCAGCCACCATATTCCTCACATCTGGCCCCCTGTGACTCTTTCTTGTTCCCTAAACTGAAGAGGCCCATGAAAGGACGACGTTACGCTTCGATTATTAGTATTAGTATTAACAAATTTTATTTAAACCCACTGACCGCGATGGTGATTCTGCAATTTTTTTTCGAAAGTCAACAAAGTGTGTAATGAAACAAACGGCAAAACAAAAGAAGAAAAAAAGAAAAGGAAACGTGAAAATATTAATCATGTAATTCACAGCGCAAAAATTGAAGAAATAATTCGTTATATACAAAATTTGTTCTAATAATATTTTGTAGCATATTCTTTTGCAGATAAAATACCTTCTCCTCTCCTTGGTATGGAGGCAACAAGTTTTTGACAAAATTCCTGTGGTATTGCGTCCCAAGCCTCCAAAATTGACGTTTTGAGCTTTAGCATTATTAAAATGCGCCCTTTTGTACACTTTTCAACAGACTTCTTGCCATACGTGCTCAATAACATTAAGATCTGGGGATTGGGCAGGTGTATCCAATATGGGGATATTTGTATATTAACCAAGTGCACGCAATCTCTGATTTGTCTCAGTAAAATATAAAATTGTCTTCAATTCCCACATGACTTCTTAACATTTTTCTATTCTCCTTCTCAAACTTTTTTATAATATCAAAGACAGTTGATGCACTTTTTACAATTTCTTAACTTAATAATTAGTTTTCGAATCTCATTGGAAGTAAAGTGGGTGAGTGCGTGAAATATAGAACAAAACTCTATAACTAGTTTCTCTGTACACATTAATTAATATATAATAACACAGATATAAATGTTAATAAATAAAATAAAGGTTGTGTTCTCTGTTATAAAGCGTATTTGCACAAGTAAAAAGACATATAGGAAATAAAATATGCAACTCAACGCTACTGCGGTTTATGTTGCAACTACCCATTTTACTTCTCATCCGTCCATATCAGGCGACGTCAAGACCGAGATACATACACAATTGTTGAAGTAGCTGAGAGCGGCGAAATGTTACCAACTGCCAGTGTGTTTGCGCACTTCTGATCAAATATATAATTTTCGTCAACAAATTTCATTATTTATGCGTTCGAATATAAGCGCCAATCAAATATACATGATCTATATGGTAACAAATAATTATCAGGTGTACAACTTTGCTTCCGCTGTTTTCCGATAGGTGGCTGTACCGGCTGAGGCTGGTTAAAATTCATAGATGATAATGCCTGTAAAGTGAGTGTGGACAGTGCTTAAAGAATTGTCATCGCCGTTTCAGTGACAGTTGTTCTTGTTTTCGTATTATTCACGCTCGAAAATGTCCGTTTATGTGCCTAATTCTCGCCGTTTGCGGGAAGTTTGACTTTTCTGTTACCATTCGAAAAAAAAAAATGCAGCTGAAGCGCATCGAATGCTCTTAGAAACTTACGGTGATGCTGCTCTGAGTGAAAAAACGTGGCGGGAGTGGTTTCAACGTTTTAAAAATAGTGATTTCGATGTCGAAAACAAACAAGGTTATGATTTGTGTCGGTGTGATTTACTACGAGCTCATAAAACCGGGTGAAACCATCACAGGAAATCGCTACCGAACGCAACTGATGCGCCTTAGTCGCGCGCTAAAAGAAAAGCGGCCACAATATAAAGAGCGACATGACAAAGTCATCCTTCAACACGACAATGCTCGGCCTCACGTCGCAAAAGTGGTCAAAAAGTACCTGGAAACGCTGAAATTGGAAGTCTTGCCTCACCCGCCTTATTCCCCACATGTCGACCTTCTGACTTTCACCTATTCCGTTCGATGGCACTCGGTCTGGCAGATCAACATTTTCAATCCTTCGAAGAATTGGAAAAATGGATTGCTTCATGGATACCATCAAAAGAGGACTCCTTTTTTCGGGCCGGGATCCGAAAATTGCCGGAAAGAAAGGTTGCTATGGATGGAAGGTACGTGAGTTGGGATGTCGGAAGTTGTCCACAAAGAGTAAAAATGAAAAGCTTTTTTTTTTAATTATCTCGTAATGAAACTACATCATTTATAAAACAGTATAAATTTGTTTTGAGATAAAGTTTTACCGGAGCGAATAGTAAGTAGTCTCGCACTTTTCGCGAGTGCAGCTGGAACTGATATATCGGCTCCGACCATTAAAGTTAATATAGCATACTATATAATCATAAATACTTACAGAAAAGAGACCGCCGAGACATGAATTTATATCAAAAAAGTGTCATATAACTTCCGTCTTGAGTGGGAAAAAACTCATTTTCGTCCTTCGATGATATTCGTGTACATACAAATAAATTATCAATTTCATGGTCCCCATTTATTATAGTTTATTTGCTTTACTTAAAACTTTCGATTTGAAACCGAAAAATGAATTCCACCGATGGCGACCTTTGCTGGAGATACGCACAAGCACTCAACAAAAATTAACCCTTGATTACATGCGATAAATTTTTTAAACAGTTTTTATAACCGTAAATACTCACTAAAATAAACAAAAACTACTAATTACACTAAACATTAGTAAATACCTTATTTTTGAATGTGGTAAATTGGCATATTACCTGTATCATTTGTTAAAAAAAGTTTACAATATGAAATCTATACCAATCGATTACCATCGTGTCACCGTTATGTACAAACATAAAAATTCGAATATTTGCAGCTAAAAATATGAGTAAGTAATTTTGGTATTTCATTTATTTACAGTAATCATTATTTTCTACATTTTTTAGATATTCATCGAGCACAAAGAACTATCAAGTGACAAATCGAATGCGACCAGAAGACAAAGATGCTAGTTTTTGGGATGAAGTTACTTTTACAAGGCTGATGACATTCTATTGGGGACCATTAAAGTTACAAATAGCAAGCGGCTGGTGAACTTACTTATTGACGGTTATAAAGACAATTGTTGAAATTATACTATACAATGTTTGTTTTATTTGACTAGTAATTTTTTATTTCAGGTAGCGTTGAAAGCAAAATAGCTTGAATATGTAGCTAATGAGTGTATTGTGCGTTTTCATAGCCATGAATAAATACCAATGTTCCCAATCAGAGTTAAACGATATGCTGAAAGCACTTGATTTTGTTCATAAAGAATGTAGATTATTTTTTATGAATTGATGTATTTGCAATAAATATAGAAAATAAAATAAGGAAAAATAAACAGAAAAGAAAGAAGATTTTTCTGTTAAAGTGTGCCCATTTGTCTGGGGATTCTCCAAATAAGAAAATGATTTATATCATTATTTATTGTACTTTGTTACTCTTTCATTTCAATAAATCGTTTTTTTGAAAAATCAATAAAAAGGCAGCAAGTTGCTTTTCCATTCCTTATTACTTTTTACCAAAATCGTGTGAACAGAGCAAAAACAGTTTGTTTTAATTTTTATGACCTGCTAAATGGCAGTTCTTAAATTTTAATACTTTTTTGTGACTTTAGTGACTTAGTGTTGCTTAGTGAATTCCAAATAGTATAAAATTGATACTTTAGAGAGAAAATATTCAATTTGATACTAGATTCTGCTTACTGAATTTCGCTGCATATCATATGTTCATATTGTAAAGGAAAAGAAAGAGGGAGAGGACTTTATTGCTGACAAGAGAGATCTAGACCTCGAAGTCCGTAAGCAGTGACATGGGAGCCAAGGCGCAAGTGAGCCGCGGGTTTGTTTGTTGAGAGGGGTCATTTCCAGATCCTTTCGCTTTATGTGAAATCAATGACATAGGCTTACGTCAACAGTTGTGTACTCATATAGGAGATTGTCACTTCTCTATTTAGCTCTGCGTCTCTTATTATAGATAATTAGCAGCTGGTTATTCAAGTAATGATTTTTTCCTGCAGACTGAAAGACCTACGGTTGTAAGCTATTACGGCGCGGCTGACGGATTTTTCTCTGACTGGTGTGGTGTCTTAATATATATTTCTCATAAATTTGTGGGGCTCATCACCTTCATATTTATAATTTTTAATTACAAAAGCTTTTCCTCCAAAATCTTTCTTTGTGAAATATTCATAACTTCTTGTCGAGTTTTTCATTAATTTTATGATCAAGCTAACAGCTGTAACTCTGGGAGAAAAATTAGACTCGAGTTTTGTATCGATGCTGCTACTTATTAAATACATACGTACGTTGGTAAATGAAATCAAAATTTAAATTAATACTCACGTGTATCCATCGAAATCACCACTATTTATAGCCTCAATTAGCTGTTCAGTGATTTTAATTATCTCCTGGCGTCTTGCTGCTTTTAATTCAATTTCGTTAAGATAATTTGATGGCATATAATTTTTTTTCGCATTATCGGAGTATGAAAGTCGTAATTGTAATACAATGCATGTTGATATTAAATTGCAAATGACACATTTGAGTTTTCAAGTGGCGGTACGAGGTTTGGATACCCAGAAGTAAAAAGATTAAAGAAAAATGTAAGAGAATCGTTTTTGTTATATTATATTTCTATTAAAGTACATACTTATTTAAAACATAACCAAATGCAAGTATACTAAAATAGGTATAAAAAAGAGTTATCATACATACGTTTTTATATGTAACATGTACATGTACATATATTAAGGTCATTTACTAAACTGTTCTTTTCTAGCAACGCCTCCAAATATATATAAAAATATAGTTTATAGCCTAAAGGAAAATATTAGACAGAACCAGCTTCTTACATTCATATTTAACTCGAGTGGTTAGCATTGCACACTGATATTTCCTAGTCTGACCAAACATCCACATTTTTTGTAAAAATGTTTCTCTAATTGCGGTTGGCCTTCGACAGGCAATGTTAAGCCCTTCGAGTGTACTTCTGACATAACATAAGAGCTCCTCAAAAAAATCCATCGGCCGCTCGGAGGCAGTTTAGAATAAACTGTGCCATAAGAGGCATCTGACGCTGCACAGAGTGAGTACGCGGGGAGTGTAAGGATTTATGAGCAGTGTTTTCTCTCATTAGGTTTTATGGTTCAAATTCACATTTTTCCAAAAGTTTGAAACGACAATACTAAGCTTGTCAAGGACCAATTTCACGAATTGACGAATAACGAATTAACAAAGCTTATGAGCTTTTATAATATTGTATAATCATATTGCTAAGGTAAAGAAGTTTTCTTACAGTCTAAAAAGCATACCACCCCGTTCCTTTATATTTAAGATATCTCATTTTCCCAATCGCAGCAAAGTGATTCCATTTTCAAAAAAAATATGGTGTTGAAGAAACAATCAACTAAGTTTCTAATAAAACTAGGTTATATTTCTTGACCCAAAACGAGCGTTCTACAAGATTTTGATCGTTACACAAAATTTATAAAACTATGTTTTACCAATTCTAAAATATGGTTTACCGAAAAACAATCAGAATTCGTCTCCGGGGAATTTTCTGTTAGAGCAGTTTTTACTGAAGATAGTGCTCTTGAGCCTATAATCTAAATTATATACACTGAAGACGTCACATTTCACATCTACTCGGGGGCAGCGCTCATAAGTGTGCCCTTGGCGGTCATAAAAGGCATTTTGGGACAAATGTTTCTTCTTTTCCGTCGGGGCGTGGGCGTTGAAAAATTTCGTTGAAAATTTTCGGCGGACATTCTAGGTGCATGTCCTCAAATCGTGTAGAGGTGTAGCGATCTGAGTTACATATGTACATACGAGTATAAAAATACCACGTAGGCAAAACAATAAAAATAACATGAACAAAGAGTCAGGCCAATAGCTCTGCGCTGCTGCTATTATATAAGCAGAGCAAAGCATCATTACTTCAACGTCCACTTCAAATGCTACGTTAGCAATCGTATGGTTGGTGAGCGGAATCGCGGAAATGTATTGTGACAACATTTTAATATAAATAGAACGAGATTTCAGTCATCAATACTCAGTACCCGTGTTTTTTTTATTGATTCATATTTCGGCTATGGAATAGTATGCCTAATGATTATTAGAGTCGCAAACTGATGTTGAAACAATAAACATGAAGCAATATGATGATATTAATCATTTACAGAGGGTATCTCATCCGAGGTGTTGTTAAGTGTTTCATTGGAGCTTTTGGTTCGATGCTCGATTGAAGTATGTACAGAGCTAGAAAATCTCGGAGGTATTCACCACTCTGTTAAAATTTGGCTGCTAACTAATAGGCCATTTCCACCAAGCCTAAACTCTGTGTTTACACTCGCTACTGTGTTTAGTAACAAACTCCATTTTAAATATTTGTCAAACTCCATATATTGGATGAGTGCATAAGTTCGTGCCCGATTTCAAGTGCAAACTAAAATTCAAATTTTTTGAAGAAAGCGCTTCTATTAATCACTTATGTATTCGCCATCGTGTTCGGCAATCCACTCCCAACGTTCAGCCAATTTACGGATGCCTGATTCATAGAAATCGCGCGGTTTCTCGTTGAAAAAGGTGTCGTCGAAATACGTGAGTTATTCGCAACTAAAGTGCTTAGAACATCGTCATCAAGCTCAGAAAGCCGTCCACTGCGAGGTTGGTTTTCGAGGTTAAAATCTCCATAACGAAATTTCGCGAACCATTTATTTACTGTGAGGAGTGCTGGATCACGGTCCAAATGAACTTCACGAATATCTTTAGTTGCAGCGCCTACTGTTTTTCCTTTGCGGAATTCGTATAACATAATATGACGCAAATGATCTTTTTCGTTGTCCATCTTCCATGCGTCTTTTCACTAAGCAACTCAAATCAAAATAAAGTTATTTTATGCTTGCTTTATGCTCGGACTGTCACCTTTCCAACGATATATAATATGTATATATTTCTTTCACGAGCGCCACTCTCAAACGATTCGAACGTCATCCAGCGGAATCGGGCACGAACTTATGCATCATCCAATATATCTCATAGCACAAACTCGCCTCAAACTCACTTTTCACAGTTGAGTTTACATGTTTTTCACTATTTGCGACTGGCAACAATGAACATTTTACGGCATTTTTTCTATTTTGTTATTTCGCTCCTATCAATATAAAGCAGCACTGTAGGGCATACTGTCAATATTGTATGAAATTCGTATTGAGGCGGCCGCGGTAGCCGAGTGGTTAGCATTGCGTATTGTCATTCAGAAGGCGCGGGTTAAAATCCTGGTAACGTAACAACATGCAAAAAGTTATAGAAAATTACGTAGTATAAACTTATAGGTCCCTTCATTTGCTGGCAAAAACATCAAGTCCCAAAACCAAAAATTGGAGTAAGAACTCGGCCGATAATCGGTTAAGCGGTTACAAATCGCCAATTATATAAACAAAAATAAATGACAGCCCAAACACTAAATTCATTAAACACCCAGTGGAAACACTTGACAGTTCTCGTAAACTCAAAACATGCAAACACAGTGTGTGGTTTAGCTAAAGAAAAAGCTGTTATTGGCGACAAGAAAAGTAAAGCCAATAAAAATATAATAAAAACCAATTATTCATTAATTTTTTTATTGTATTTCATGCTGCATTTTTTGTTATTTATTATTGTTTAATAAAAAAGTTTTGAATATATTTAAATTGCCACCCAAAAAAGCAATCATTGGTAAACAAACCTCCAAATCAAAGAAAGTAAAGGAAAAAAAGCAATTAAACATCTGTAGAACGTGAATTACGCCTTAAGAAAACTCGTAACACAATGTCTAAAAAGGAAATATAGAGACTGAGGATGAGAGTGAATCACTGCTTCAAAAAAAGCGTGACAAAGAATCTTCATCGCGAGCTACCGAGACAACTCAAAAACGTATCCAAAGCCTTGATGCAAATCGTAACCAAATTGCTCAATTACGAAAAAGATTGATTTAAAGCTTGCAGCGTTCTATTACAATACGAATTTAGACTACAGAAATAACAAAGACGTAATGATCGGCACAATGGACAAAGTGTAATTACCATGTGGTGCATTGAAGCTCGCCAAAGAATCATGGAAAGTGCTGTTCGAACGGTAAAGCTGTTTTGTCTACTCCGACTTCCAAACATTTTTTTTTTCAAAACATCCGAAAGTATAATTCATGCATTCAAATGCGGTCCTTAAGAGCAACCAAAATAGTTAACAATATTGGTTACATGCCCACCTTTAAAGTGCAAGGTCAAATTTACCACAAAATCGGATCATTGCTCCCATTTCAAGATCCTTTATTTCACTTGTAATGAAGCTGCAGTAGTTGATCAGTGTTGCGCAATCAGTACTGAAGTAAGACGACAAATCGTTTTAGAACTTCAAGCTACGTTTCATTAACACAACAATCTTATTCGTTCATTCAAAACAGCTTTAGACTAGATGCCAACTGATGATTATATGGTTGTGATAAAAGCAGATACAATGTACCGGTAAAAGACGGTGTTGCAGTGGTTATGGTCGGAACATACTTCGAGCGACGCGATGTCATCATCCATCTACGAAATTAAAATCTTCTTTGCGTTGTGGAAACACATCGGTCATACGTGGCGAAGATAGCTACCATTTCAATGTAATGCAAGTAAATTTAAATAATGAGTCAAGAGAAAAAGCATGAACTTTTATGTCTACCGCCTTATGATTCGGAAAAATGAATTTTATCATTTGTTAAAATGCCGTGAACTTTTTCAGCAAATCATGGTCGACATGTACGCAAAAAATGAAAGAGAACGTCTTCTCTTTATTCGGTTAAATTAACGAAAGCTACGCGCCAAGGAATACATTCACTCGCGTGATGAGATTAATAATGATGGAAATGCTGCCAATAAAGGCCAATTGGTGATTTTGCTAGCGGCGTACGAGGTTTGCTCAAAAGTATCGCGAATTTTGAATTTTCGAGGGTTACGTATAATGGAATTTCGATTTTTTTGTGGCGTTATGTTGGTGCTCATGTCTGTCCCTTATGCCAACAAGCTCGGCCATTTTGAATGTTCACTTAATTGTTGACAGCTGCTTTGCTTGTACGTGTTTTGGATGGTCTTCGATTTTTACCTATTCAAAAAATTGATCAAAGAACCTGTATCAAATTTTGTGTGAAAAACGAAATTAAGTGCGCGGATGCATTCCGAATGTTGACTGTGGCATACGGAGAAGCTACCTTGGACCGCCTTATGCAAGAGTACGCCCAAGATGCTAAGACTTACGTGTGCAAGTACGGACGACCGGATTTATTCGTAACTTCCACGTGTAATCCAACATGGAAAGACATCACTGACCTGTTAGACCCGGATCAAAATATAACACATAGACACGATCATCTCGCATGAGTATTCGAACAAAAATTAATTTTCAATA